TCAAGCCTGACTGCTTTGTGGGCCACTATATACGAGGATCATTACTATTTACTATCATAAATCGTATTATAATTAGGACCTTGACCTTATCTACGAACTAGTTGGCCTCACAAAAGTACATATCAACTACAGCTGCCATCCTAAACTACAGAGTTTAACAACACGTTCACTGAAGTATTGCATACTATCCGATGCACAAGGATTTCCTAATTAGTAACGAATAAGATGTACCTTATTAAAATATTTCTTATACCTTTGCCATAGACAACCATTCTCACACTGCAAGTACCAACTTTGTTTGTTTTGAATTTTGGTACTGCCAACATATTCGGATAATCTACATAACATATCCCACTTTCTAAATGTTAATTTACTGCCGGGTGCATTAAATCAGATGCTACAGGCACGAGATAGCGTTCTTGCCAGAGACCTTTGGAAGAACCGCGTTTTTATAATTGGAGCATTATAATTTCAGATATCATAGTACGATGTAAGATTTGAGGTTTTCACAGCGGCGAGTATGAAGATTCCTGTCTTCTGGGTTGCGCTGTGTAGTCTGGTTGTTGTTAGCCAACGTTTCAGAGGTCATAGTGCCTCCGTCATCAGTATGACCTCTGAAACGCTGGTAAACATCGACCAGACAACACAGCGCAACAACCCAGAAGACAGAAATCTTCATACTCATCGCCCTGATGATGGAGGCAGTACGACCTCTGAAACGTTGGTAAACATCGACCAGACTACACGGAGCAACAACCCAGAAGACAGAAATCTTCATCATAGTACGACCCGTCAAATGTAATGGGAATGAACATTTTTTGTGTTGAGCAATTAAATTTATCGCAACATCTTTGCAAATTTCATTTAAAGTTCAAATAAATAAAATTTCTTTAAAAAGTAAATGAAGTGTGATATCCTTTTGATTTCAAACTCTGTGCTCCAACCAAATTCAGACTGTTTTAAGGTACTAATCTTGCATCTGCTAGGAGAGATTAAGTAAAACCATTAAGAACCTATCATAATAATACCTATGGGCTGAGAAAGGAAACTAAGACCTCCCAAATATGGAGCACTTTGGCAAAAAGCAGTAAATTAAACAAGATCTGAATACAACCTAGATGGTCTCCTCAAACATCAGTTTTCTTTCATTCATATAAATAAAAATGGTCCCACATCATGATTACTCTTGATATTTAAAAGGCCATGTGTATTAAAGAAAATAATTTGTAAGTAAAAGGCTACAGAGCCAAAAAAACATAAATGATACTGCCCTTCAAGTTATGCAATAACTTATGACATGTTATATGGGGGGGGGGGGGGGGGGAAAGAAAAAAAAACACACCACAATTATGCAAGGTCAGGTAGGCCAGTTCAGTTCAGAGAAAGGGAGGCTGGGATGAAAGTATATTTAGCAGTATTTGGAATTGCACCATCATCTTCTTTGTGCTGGACAATGTATCTGTATCTCCAGAATCCTTTCTCCTGGCCTCAAAATTCAGAATTAAAAGAAAGCTGAAAGCATTATATGGGCAACTACATTATATTCACAAACAGAACTTCATGAAACATCTAACAAAAACAGAACAACTGATAAGACCCAAGTAAACCTATCTT